GGACTTTTGAAAAATAAGTAGGCTATCCTTTTTGTCTTTACGTAAAAGTGGTAGCATTTTAGGTAGATTTTTCTCCATTTTGCATTCCCCTTTTAACAATACACCCTGGCTACCACCCCCAGCAGTATATAGAGACCTTCTTCATTCTTTTTCAGTGACAGTCCACTCCACTGTGTAGATACATGGTCATTTATTTTTGAGAACTATACTTCTTAAGAGTTCTGTGGATTTCCAATTCTGCTGTTTTCCAGGAACTGCAGTTTCTGAATGCTTATAGAGAGAAGGTGGTCGGAGGGGGCAGTGTCCTGGCTGCTTCTAAAAGCAGTACCTATTTGTGACCATTCATATCAGTTTTCTTCTTGGTTCTCATCCTGGGTGGAGGGGAAGTGTCTGTCTTTTTGTAACCAGGTAACAATCAATCAATCAATCAGTAAATAATTAAGTAAATAAGTAAAGAAAGGAAGAAAGAAGAGAAAGAAAAGAAAGCAAGCAAGCAAGCAGTGCTTTTTTCATGAGTCACACAGCCCTTCACAGTTTCTGTCATTTAATTTACACTCCTTTTGGCTTGCAGTTAGAAATTCTTCCAGGTTTTGAGAACACATTATTTGTCAGTCTTAAGTTTTTTGATGGTGACATCTGTTTTATGTGTCTTTGTGTTTATATTAGTAAGGATTTGGGAGGAGTGGTATCACAGATTGTGCTTCAGATGCCATTTAAAAACAAACCCCCATATGTAAAAAGTAAATAAAACAAATGTTTTAAAAACAATCTTTTCTCTCCTAACTAGTACTGAATTATTTGTGTTGCAGGGAGAAGGACTTGGAAGCCAAATTCATTATTCAAATGGAGAAAAGCAAAACAACCATCACAAACTTAAAGGCAAGTAGCAACCTGGCCTTCCTCCATGAGCCTCGTTTAATTTATTGTCAAAATGATTTGTTGGTAAATAAAACACGTCTACCATTCCTTACCCCTCCTCCTTACCCCTTACTCCTCCTCCTTAGTTCAACTAGCCACATCAACTTGCCCTTGGCTAGAGATTGTCCATGAGGCAAGAGGGTGGTGCTCTGTCTCCTCTCCTGTCCCCTGGTTTCATTTGATCTCAGAGCCCTTGTATGGGAACTCATAGGTTTAGCCCAGGCTCAGCATTGTTATCCTATATCCTGTGGAAGATCCTTAGCCTGGAAATTGGCTGCATTCTGTGAATCATAAGTAAACGTTGGCCCTAGATTTGTTTCTGTTCTTAATGAAAATAATCATGTTTTGTAAACTTTACAAGAGAAGCTTGTATTATTATTCAAAACGCAGGGGATGAAAGATTTTTTAAAAATGGATATATATATTTTTTTTTCCCCTGGAAGAGATCATTGAAAAAAACAGAATTTTCTAGGATGGCATTTTCTTCCTTTTGCACTTAAAATATCCTGGTATTTTTCCTTGGTCAGTGAATTTGTTAAGGACTGTGAATACTTTTCACTTGGTGGGGTGGGGGCTGGATAAGAGTGTAAAATTAATAATAAATCATGTGCTTTATGAATGCAACCCCTCTGTCCTCTTATATTTTTCATTAACTTACAGGTTTGGGTTTCTGAGGCCTCCTGCTCTAAGGCCAAGTGCAGATCAATCTCTAGTTGGATTTCTGTTAATTTGTGGCTCAAGGGACTGGATACTTTGAAATTCAGTCTCAAAGTAGAGACACTTGATCTCCAGTGATAGAACCTGGGGAATGTTTCTATCTTCCAGTTAGGCCATGCTCTGGATAATTTGATAGGCTTCCTTTGCCTGAGGCATTCGCCAGTGGAATGTCTTCCTTTCTTCTCTGACCACAATCCTGGTACCTTCTAGCTCTGTCTGGCCCTACTGGCTTTCCCTCCTTTGACCTGCCACATCTCACATTTCTGCCAGTCATCACTTGACTATTGCTCCTGTTAATTACCTTTGCTTTGCTTCATGTCTGCATGCTCACAATACTTTGGTAAAAGTTTAATCACTAAAAAATTACATTTACTGAAATAGAAGAGACCCTTGCCTCTGGATGCATCTCTTCTTTGTGCATTATAGAATCTATTTTCTTGGTTACTCTGTTGCCCTTTGAGTTTTACAAACATTTCCTCATCTGATATAATAAAAACAGATGTCCAGATATTTAACATTTTAATAATAACCGTAGAAATCGTTTATTTATAGAATCTGAGTTATGTTGGAAAATATGCTTATTAAATTTTTTCAGCATGTATCCAGAGAACTGTGTGAAGCTTTGGTGGCTTATGATAATTTTTAAACATGATTTTTGGTTCAGTTTAGGTATATAGCAAGGTAGGCAAGACACATGCAAACGTCTGCAATAAACTCCTAATAGAGTATGTCCTGGGAGAATCTAGCCTCCTGGAGGTGGCAGCAGTTACTTCTGGATGTAGTGCCCAAGGGCAGCTTCTTGGAAGAGGAAGCACCAGACCTGGAATTTTTAGTGTGGCAGAAAAACTGCATGATTCTAGGGGGCTGTAGTCACATCACAGTCTATGTGATTAGCAGCCCCTAGAGTTCTGCAGACCCCGACTCTTGTGGTCTGGTGGAGGAAACAGTACAAGGTACTGATGCCAGAGAAAAAATAGGAGTCTGGTTGGAGTGTTGGGTTTATATAAGAGAATCATGATAAAAAATCCAGAAAAGTATCCTTGGGTCATAGCATAGAGAGCCAGGATTGCTGGGAGGAGTTCAGGATTTATCATCTATCTGTCCATCTATCTAGGGGGAGATCAGGAGGGAGTAAATGCTTATTGGAGTGTAAGTATGAAAAGTGGTGATCGCTGCATATTTCTTATGGGTTTTTCTTTTCTTGACTTGGATAGATCACTTAGCTCTCAGTGCTTTTTACATTGTTACCATAATCCTCTCCCTCTAGATACCAGAAGGAGGGACTGGGGACTCGGGAAGAGAACGGACCAAGACCTTCACCTATGACTTCTCTTTCTATTCTGCTGATATGAAAAGTCCAGATTATGTCTCACAAGAGATGGTACGAGAGCTTCATAATCTTTATTTTGATTTACTTCCATGTTGGGAAAAACTCTTTAAAACATCTTGTTTTTTTTTTTTTTTTTAAATAGTACTTCTGTAAAATTCACCTTTATCTTAATTAAGCCTGAGAAAAATTCAGTCTCTACAAAGTTTATTCTGTTTTTCACTTATGAGCATGATTATTATTATAATCATTTTTTTTTAAACTTGGACATGACTATTGTTTTGAAGGAGCTCTTCAAATAAAGCATTTTGAGGGTGCCACTTATATATTGCTAAGCCTGGCAAACAAGCCACTCAGCTCTGAGTCCTGCTGCAACAGAGGTTTAGGAGTTAGATTTCAAACCCAGGTCCAGTTCCCTGTGAGTAGATCATTATAGGATTCTAGAAAGAACAAAAAATTTTGTTCAGAATTTTTCTAGAATCTAGAATGTAGCTGGAATTTACTAAGGAAACCTATGCTATAGGCTTTTATGGTGTAAAATGTAGACATGACATGGGCACAGAACAGATCTAGAGATCATCATAGGAAACCATTGCATGTTGACATTGCAGTGAGCGAGACAGTGGCATTTTCCTGGGACTTCCTGGGTGTTTGAACAGAGCAGTTATTGGGAAGCATTACTGAGAGGAGAATTATGGGCTTCTTCTGGGCTTGTTAACAGCTTCTTTAAATATATTGCTTCAGGGCTGTGTGTGTTAAAACTAGGGTAAGAATTTCTGTCTTGCCTGGCCTGGGTTATAATCCACACAATGGCCTCTTAAGGTGGTATTATTGTCTCGTTGCTTGCAACTTGTTGTGTCCATGTACCAGAATCACCACATTGCCTAGAATGTGTTAAAAATGCAAAATCTTGACCAATTTTGGACCCGCTGAATCAAACTGCATTTTTTTTTTTTTAGCAGGTTCCCAGGTGATTTGCACCCACCTCAACATTGGAGAACCACGGTTGGTTAGGAAATGTTTTGTGGAAGAGATTGGGTTTACTGAAGCAACATAAACATTGGCATTAGGATAGACAACTTAGAGGAAGTATTAAAAAGGAGAAGATTGGAGTGATTGTATCCAGAACATATGGATTCAGCATCAGGGCAAAAATAGAAGGGATGACAGCAGTAAGAATGAGAGCCATAGAAAGAGAGGAGTTGCTTGATATGAAAGAGGGGCTGGCAATTAATGTTGCCTGAGTTTGTGTTGATGTCTAAGACTCTGCTTGGCACTCACATACCTTGTCTCACTGGATTCTCACAAGGCCAGATTTAACTTCAACACTCTGTTTTTCTTTGTCACAGAGACTCACGGAGCTCAAGTACCTTGCTCAAGTCCATAGACATAATTGATTTAATAATAGCAGAGTTGAGGTCCTGAGGTCAAGGTGTAGGGCAATGGAGATGCCACTGGAAGACCTTCAGGGCACAAGAGAAAACGTTTGGTTTGTTCTAAGTAATAGATGGCTAGGGCAAGCCCCGTTCATGAATAAATGAACAAGTGAATAGTGTTAAAAACCAAAATTCAGTCAAGTAAATTTAAAGATCTAATTGGCTTTATTCATCAATTCATGATTCCTGCAGCATACCATCCAGCAAGTAGAAAGGAGTTTTGAAGAGCTGTACCAAATGGAAGGATTTTATAAGCAGAAATAGGGCCAGACAAGTAGCAGAAGAAAAGAAAGGATTGTTTCAGGGAAAAGTAGAGGATCACCTCATCTTCCTTTAGGGGATGGAGAGGGCCCATGTTACAAATTACCTCATTGGTGCTGATGAGAGAATCCCTGACTGACCAGTTAAGACTACCTTTTTAGGGGGATCCCTGGGTGGCGCAGCGGTTTGGCGCCTGCCTTTGGCCCAGGGCGCGATCCTGGAGACCCGGGATCGAATCCCACATCGGGCTCCCGGTGCATGGAGCCTGCTTCTTCCTCTGCCTATGTCTCTGCCTCTCTCTCTCTCTCTCTCTCTCTCTATCATAAAAAAAAAAAAAAAGACTACCTTTTTAGGGGAGGCTGAAATTGTGATTAAGTTAGGTATTGAACCCTGGTTTGGTGGCTTGGTCTGGCATAAGTGACTTCACTTGGGCCTGTAGTTTTCTTTTTAACAGCAGTGCGGATGACTTTGCTGTTGAGGAAATGGATTAATCAGTGTTGGTAGCTGGGAGTATGGTGAGCAATAGAATGTTTTAGGTATTGGAATCCAGATTTTGGCTTTATTATCAGAATGGGAATGCAGTGGCTGGTGTGAGGGAATTTGTTAAGGGAAAAGCCAGTTCATTCTACAGTCTTCAGAATGTCTTCCACAGAGGATGGATAAAGAGCCTTGAGGGTTTCCACTGCTAACTTACCAATGAGCAGCAGGCTTTTCTTTCTTATTCAACCTGAATCTGAAGCCTTTTGGAGAGAGAGGGCTGTGCTGAGGGAAAGTCCACAGTGGGAGGAGCAGAGCGGTGTGTGACAGCAGGGCTTGGCACACTGGAGATTCTCGGTAAACATTGCTGACAGAACTCGTTTACAGATGGTGGTTAATTTATGGGAACAGATGACATTTCCTGGTTCTACGAGAGTCAAGATCAGGGAAACAGTAACAAGGATAGCTTCTTTGGAAGTTAAAAATAAATACTCAATCTTAAAAATAGTTTTAGTTTGTGAAAAGTTTTTAACCGATAGGGATAATTTCCATGCTTCAGGTGGATGTGGAGCATCTCTTCTCAGGTGTTTTGGGCTTTGCAGCTTTGTTTATATAGTTATATATAAATAACTTGACATTGTTCCATTAAATTAGAAAACTAAAAAAGCCTGGAGTTGTGTTGGTAAATACTACTTTCTAGCAGAATCACATTAATGAAATCAGCTTAGGTACAGGAAAAAACCTATTTTTTTAAAAAAAATGCTCTGTAAAAGAGAAGGATGATCTTCCCTCACCCCAGTGTTAAAAAGCAAAAAAGCTTCAGTTTTGACTATCGATTAAAGTTTTCATGCTGCCGTGTCTGGCACAGGATTTGAGCTGTCAGGTTGCATCCCTGCTATAAACAGGAAAACTCAAGCTTAGCATAATGGTGGTCTTCTCCTCCTTCTCATCTAAATATAAAGGCATCTTGAGAAAATATATTATGCCTATTACTATAGTTCAACTCAAGTTTCCCTTTTAAACAAATGCCAAATAAGGCCAGTAATATTTCTTTCTTACAAATTAATTTTAGATTTAGAAAAAACAAAAACTGCACTGAGCATTTAAAGTCTATACTCATATAAATTAAAGACCATTAAATAAGGTCTGATTTTCCTCATGGTTCAAAACTCCAGAGGGAGGCCTTGCTGTCCTCACACAACCTGTTCCTTGATTCAATCCTGGAGAAACTTGAAACCTACTATCTACCAGTTGACAGGCTGGATGGGTGAGTCTTTTGTTTTCAGAGTGCCCTCTTGTGGGCAGTTTCCCTCAAGTGAGGCTCCGTGGTGCCTTGGATGACCCTGGAGATCAGCTTGAAAATCTGTGCTCAGACAAGCAGCAAGGTGGATTTTGGCTCACCTGGCCTGGTGAGGACCTCAGCAGGGTTTTGATGCCAACGTGGGAGTGCAGGACCTCACAAAGCAGCCCCTCTCTCCCCACCTTGCTTTGATGGATGTTGATAAAGAAGTGCTTCCTAGGAGCCGCAGCGGGCCTGGCCCGGCTCTCAGCACCTCCAGACCTGCATATTCTAGGCCTATTTTGCAGTAATGTCCGCCAGCCCCCTCCCCCCCTCCCCCCAGAACTCCAAGTCTGTCAGAGAACTCCAGTTGAATTAGCTTTCTGGAAAGATAGGTAATAGTAAAATGATGGATGGGATTTTAACCCTGGGAAAGAGTTTTATTTTGAAAACTTTTGGGTTTGGTTTAAATATATTTGCTGTGACTTTGCTTTAGCCTCGGATAAAGGTATTATAGAAGATCTTTCTTTTATTCTTTGGGAACTTAATATAAGGCTGTTCTTCCTATCCAGTGGCACCTTGTGACATGGTAAAAATGATAGATGACTTTTATTTTTTGTGTAATCAGAATTGAAGAAATATTTAGTTTTTCCTCATGTTCCATATACAGGGGTGAAAACTAACCTAGGATGGGTGGTCTGGAGCCATGCGTCTCCTTGGGATTCCTGGCTGGCTGCTTCTTCAGTTTGTGGGACAAGGTCCTTTCAAGGAAGGCTGGACCTCATGGCTGATGTCAATGATGTGGGAAGAAGCCACATAATGATAAAGTCTTTAGAAGCACAGGCCTTGGGGTCAGAAGTACCTAGTGCAAATCCCAACTCTGCTGCTTACTGTGTACACTCATCTAACTCTCTACCTGAAAAATAGATCGAAGTGATGCTACTGATCCAGTAGCATTTTATGGAGACTAATACGTGAGCACAGTGTGATCTGCTGTCATGGTTGAGAGTTGAGTAAGTTATCAGAATTTGAGAATAGGACTAGAAAATATCCCCTCTTAAAGCTGAAGTGGATACAAATAAACAGCATGAATGAGACTGGTCATTTTGGAAGTGACTCTATTGAAATGATACTTTGAAAATTTTTGATGGAGAAACTGATAAAGTTGAAGCAAGATGGCAGCAAGATGGTGCCTGAAGAAAGCTGAAGTCTGGGTGGCTTTTTATTTTGTCCTTGGTTGACAGGCTGTGTTATTAACAGGGATGGATTAGTGGAGCCGAGATTGAGAGAGCAGTGTTTATCGGCCCTGTCTAGGGGTGGCTGGAGGGTGTAGATCTCTGCAGGGGAGATACATGGTCTCAAGTTTAGCTAACTCAATATCACTTACAGAGACTGAACACTTCTGAGGGGTTGATGAGGCTCCCACCTTGGACTGTGGTAACTCCACAATGCAGTGCCTCACCTCTTCCTGGCTCTGACTGAGAACTTGGTAACACTGCCTTGTAACATCTCTTCAGCTGCCGATGTGCCTCATTTTTGAAGCAGTGAGGAGTTTTACATGCCCATAATGTGTCTGTTGATCTAAGAAGGCAGGAGGCAACGTGAAGGCTTGGGAGTTTGGAAAGCTTTTGTTGGTCCTCTTCCCAACTGTGTGTACCTAGGATGGCCACACATCTCATTTGGCCTCATTTATATCAGCCGTCTGGGTGAAGTATTTGTCCTTCACCATCTTTTATTCCCCAGAGTGTCCCACTGCAATTACGTGGTGTGGCAGACATGGACTCAGGCCCTTGGAGGTACAACACCAAGCCCCACACAACTCATCTCCCTGCTGTCTCCATCCTAGCCAGATATTCAGATAGGAAAAAAACATCTGGCCTCTGACTCGGGGGATCCAGTCATCCCAGCCTCATTCACACCCACCCATCAGCTCTCAGAGAACCTTCTGAGACTTCGATAAATAGCTGAGCCCTTAAAATGACAGCATTGATTTGGCATGGTTTGGGCAATAACTTCTGGCTGCTGTGATTTTTAGGTTTTGAATATTTAGTTTCTGGAAACTCTGATAGAATGAATAACTTTATATGTTTATTTAATTCTGGAATGATAAATCAGCATGCTTTAAAATCATTTTTGCTTCTGAGACATGATTGTCACTTTACCTTGTTTACATTTTTATATTGCAGGAGTTTTTTGTTAAGTAGTAAAAAGGATGGGGTTGCTTTTTGCTTCCTTAAGTTTCCTTTTGATTAAAAACTTGGGTACATACATATTCTGTTGTGATAGTTCTGCGATGATTTATTTATATGGTATAATCCTTATAGGATGAAAGTAACGTTCAAGAATATTGTCAATACTGAAGGTGATTTTATTAAAATCTATGGTAATTGTGTCTTTTGTGTTTTTTTTTTATTCTGCTTTCAGGTTTTTAAAACCCTTGGCACAGATGTCGTGAAGTCTGCATTTGAAGGTTATAATGCTTGTGTCTTTGCGTATGGACAAACTGGATCGGGAAAGTCCTACACTATGATGGGAAATTCTGTATGTTGTTTTACACTGTGGGGAGAAAATTTCTCATTATCTCTCTTTGGACTCATAGAATTATCTCTTTTATCTAGTTGGCCTGTACTAACTTGCTTTTCATGTTCTGATCATTCTTTAGCAATAAGATAAAACTCAGTAATAAGTTGGACTAAATTTCCTTTGAGAGATTTTAAATTAGAAATAGTTTTAAGTTTATAAGCATGAATAATGGATGCAAGTCTCAGTTCATTTTCTGCTTTTAAAGGCTTTATAATCTTATCAAAAAGTATGCTGGGCCCACAAGTAATTTATTCTTCTTTTCTGCCAACACAACAGTTTGAATAAAATTACTGAACTCTGTTCTCTTTAAAATTATTCAAAACATACTTTGCTCAAGAGAAATGTAAAAAAAAAAAATCCCTCTGGTTGAAAGGTACTATATAACTCTAGCATATACATAAAAAGAGAATTACACTGTTTGCATAAAGTCTATAACATAGAGTATGGAGTATGTAGAGTAGCATGGTTACGGAGTTTGTAGAGTTTAGTTAGTTACACCATAGAAACTAACAGACATTAAATTTACACTTGCCCCAAAATATGGAGCAGTAAAGACATTATTGCAGGAGCCTTATCTCATTCTATGTTTTCTTGAGATCTAGATAGTGCTTGTGTGTTTGACTTATGTCTAGTGAAAACTCTCTTCACTGCCTGTCAGACCTGTGGCCTGTTCTGGATGTGGAGGAACCAGCAGGGGGTCACAGGGCTTCCTGCTGGCCTGCACAGTGGAGTCTTTAATGCCTAAGGTTTGGTAGTTCATGGAAGTAGTAGTAGCGCATTAAAGGGGTTGGGGTCTTTCCAGATGGAAGCATTTGAGTGCTTGGGACCTGGCTTCTTAAATTCAGGCTTTTCCTTTACAGGAGAAGTAGATAAATGCCATGCTGCAAATCCTCAATGCTGAGCAGTGTGGGAGACTACATAGGAGAGCAAGCAGTTAGTTTCAGGAGTTTGATATTTCCTTTTATCATTACTTCTCCCTTCCTAGTTTTCCACTGTGCCTTTGCCAAAAAAAAAAAAAAAAAGTCTTCTCTAAAAATGAAATTTGCATGTTGATCCCTCTAGTAGCTCTTTTATGTAAGTTAAACATTCATAAAGCACTCCTAAATTACATCTGTTTTTCTCTGACCTTATAGTTGAGAACCATTGGGTCTTCCTTTTTTTTTTTTTCTTTTTAAAGGCACAGCAAAAAAATATAATGAAAAGCCCAATTTTCCTTGATAAGAATTGGTACCAATTTAATGGTGTAAGAGAAAAAAATTCTTAATGTTGTGATGATTTTTTTTTTTTGAGGCGGGGATGTTGAGTGAAGGTAGGGAGGCTCTTCAGATGAATACGCTGTAGCTCTGAAGTTTTGGTTTCCTAAGAAGAACATTTGGCCTCATCTTTAACATTGTTCTGAGGTTCATCAGCTTGTTAATGCCAGCTGAAACATGAGTACTCCTGAAGATGCCCATGTCGCATAATATGTATTAACATCTGTCTAGGAAGGCCAGTGTTGGGATTAGTGCATCAAAGGAGGGATATAATACATGTTTCAGTGTGGTCCTATCACCTAAGGGTTAAGACAGTTATCAGCTACTTTGAGTGCTTACCAAGGTCTCTTAGGTGTTTTTCTTCTCAGTGTATATTTCACCTTCTTTGATCATCTGACTTGATCAGATTTTCCACATTTATTCTACAGCTGTAGACCATCTTGTTTGAAAGTTAAGGAATAGATCTTCTATGCTTTCAAGTCAGGATTTAATTAACAGCTGATAATTGTATATGACCCGAGACCTAGCATGTAAAAGTTAGAAAGCTCCACCCTCTTATTTCAGAGGCGAGGAAGCAGGTCTGAGGGGGTAAATGGTGTATCTGGGGTCCTGTGGTGGTAGGCTTGGGTTTGACATGCAGGCCCCTTGAGTAAATCCATTCTGGCAAATTGCAAATTCAGCCATTGGTTGGTTTTATTTCAAGTGACAGCTGTGGCATTCCTCCTTCCCACTGCAGGGCGATTCTGGCTTAATACCTCGGATCTGTGAAGGGCTCTTTAGTCGTATAAATGAAACCACCAGATGGGATGAAGCATCTTTTCGAACTGAAGTCAGGTAGGACCTGGGACCTGGTACGGTAACTGAATGTGTGAGCTCGGTTGGAGCTTCTCTCTAGGCATGAGGAGTAGATAAAGGATAAAGCCTTTGGATACTTGAAGGAAGAATCTGCCTTTTCCCCTCCTGCACTATCATAGAAAGAAGTGAAGCTTGAAATATGTCTGTTTTCAGTGACTTTCTTGGGTGCAATTTGGATTAGGATTTGGGAGGCTAGCAGAAATAATCCTGTTTGGTCAGAAACTCTGACATAGGATGTTTATTTCAAATAGAGTGAGCTTTTGACATTTAAGTGTATATACCCCACTGGCCTTATTCTTTGATCTGAATAAGGTTTGTGTTATTCTTCGTGTTAGTAGAATCACTATACATCTAATCTTTAAATAAATCTGGATAGTTGAGGGTTTTTTTTTTCTTCATTGAAGGGACTAACGTGACAGTCAGAAGTCCTTAGAGCTGCTTGACCTTTTAGTGGCTGTGAGGTCTTGGACAAGTCATTTAAAAAACTATTCCCCTTTATTATCTAACCTGTAAAATGGGAATAATAGTAGTACCTGCCTCTGGGCTATTGAAGGAATTAAATGAAGTAATCCACTTACCTGCTAAGCATAGTACCTGATAAATAGTTATCACACAAAAACATGTTGCTGCTGTTACTGTTTTGTTGTTATTCATGTCTGAAATCATCTTACTGAATTCAATCCTATTTAAAATTTTTAGCTACTTGGAAATTTATAATGAACGTGTGAGAGACCTACTTAGGCGGAAGTCATCCAAAACTTTCAATTTAAGAGTCCGAGAGCACCCAAAAGAAGGACCTTATGTTGAAGGTAAGAGTGAATATTTCACAGCTCTGTTCTTGGAAATTGGTGTTAAAAACAGTAGTTTCAGGGGAAAAATGTAAAATAATGGTGAGATGTAAACAGTTTATCTTGGGCATTTTATTATAGTAAAAATGACGTGCTGTCACTACAGGTGTCACTAGTATGAATTTATATTTCACTGGGCATCCACTGATTTTATGGGCTTGCCAATAGATTTCCTCTGGCTTTCAGAATAAGAACTCTTTGGAAATTTGTTTTCCAATGTTCTCAGGCAACATAAGTGACCCTCAAGGTGTCTCTTTAAATGATACTGCATCTTAGTGGTATATTTTTACTGATCTTAGCGGTAGCTTATGACCATAAGGAGATTCTAAGACCTCTCACCTTGTGAGAAGAACATTGACAGAGTTTCATGTGCTGTGGTCCTTAGCATTTGTGTTGTGATAACACTAGCTATGTCACAATCACTTGTGAGGAATGTCACAAGTAATGCTGGGTAAAGGACTGGCCCTTGCTAATTATTTATAAATAGGCTGGGTTTAAGGCTATCTTGATAATGAAGCTCCTCTCAGCTTACTCACGTAGGTAGCTAAGTTGTGGCTGGCTGTTGGAATCACACACAGAAATGTGCTTTCCTGTGGCTGTTGTCCTTCATCTCTGTCTTGTTGGAGGCAAGGCTGAGAACTGGTCCTGGGCTTAAAAACATGTTCCTATTTTCGTTGTCTTTTTCACCTAGTGTTATCAGGTGGACTAACAGGACTCTGTGTATTTTATTAAATTTCCAATTGAAATTTCTCCTTTTATGCCCAAAGTAAATTGTATAACTATGTATTTGTTTTGTGGAGCGTGGAATAGCTATTATTGTTAATAGCTTTTAGGCTAACTGTGCCTTCATGCTTCCCTTTAATTGTCTTATCAGATGTTAAAGCATATTATAAAGCTGGTTTATGAAGAGACAGAATAATCAAACAGGGGAAACATCCGGAATCTGATGTAGATACTTATGGGGATTTAGTTTCTAATAAATCTGATATTCAAACATTGGAGGAATATTGGTTGTTAAGCTGTCTGGGAGGAAACAAAAAGAGTAAATTGGTAGCATAGCTCCATTTTTATACCAGGATAAATGGCAGATGGAACAAAGATTTTATTTTATTTTAATTTTTAAAAAATATTTTATTTATTTATTTGAGAGAGAGAGAGAGAACATGCACAAGCAGGGGAGGGGGCAGAGAGAGAGAGAGAAACAGACTCCCTGCTGAGCAGAGAGCCCAACAATGCAGGGCTGGATCCAAGGACCCCAAGATCACACCTTGAGCCAAAGGCAGACGCTCAACCACTGAACCACCCAGGTATCCCTAGAGGAGGGAAGTTTTTTTTAAAATTACTTAAAACTCAGGAACCATGGAATGAAAGTGTTAAATGTGAAGTGGTAAAAAAATAGAATTTGGCAGAAACCCCATCAACAAAGGAAAAAGACAACTTACAAAGTAGGGAAAGTCTTTTCAATCCGAGTTTCAGACAGATGACTAGTTTCCCTCATATATAAAGAGATCATGTAACTCAGTAAGGACAGATTCAATAACCAAGTAGAAAAACACAGATGTGAATAGATTGCTCACAGAAATAGGAATGCGGATGGTTTTTAATGGAGGAAAGATGCTCAGCCTCACTCATACTCAGAGAAAAGCAAAATAAAAAAGTCTTAAAAGATAACATTTATTACCTATCCCTGATAGATGTAAGCAAGCCTGATAAGACAGTGTTAAGACATAGGTAGTCTTATACTAGTAACTGCTGGGTATAAATTGCCTCTTAGGGAGGACAATTTTGCAATATCCATCAAAATTTCAAATGTGCTTCGATCTAGCACTTAGGCCTCTTAAGAATTTATTCTGGAGAAATATTCACAATATTTGAAAAGAGTGTGTACAAGATTATTTATAGCAGTGTTACGTATATTTGTAACAAAATGTAAGCAAGCATCTATAGTCTCAACAGGAGACTGGCTAAATTGGAAATTGGTTATGGTCCCTGCATACAATTGAAGGCTCTATGGCCATAAACTTGAGTGAGGAATTACCTTCACTGATATTCTTTAGCATATTGTTATATAGAAAAAAGCAGGATGCAAAACAATGTTTATGGTATGCTGCCATGTTTGAAAGGGAAAATAAGATGGCTTTATATATATATGTATTGGCTGCATCTGTATGGGTTATTTCTAGAAGGGTGTGGAGAAACTAATTCCATTGGGTTGCCTGACAGAGGGCAAGTGGGGAGTGGATCTTAGAATAGGGGTCGGGGGAGACCCCTTTACAGGAGACCCCTTTTCACAGTATACCTTTTGTAGCCTTCGATTTTAGAACCATATAAATGTTCCTCAAAAAGGAATAAAAAGTTTTTTTTTTAAATGATTAGAAAAATGCTCTCTGGTTTTGCATGAAGCTAGTGATTACATTTCCTGTGCTATGACTGATCCTCACAAGGTTGACGATAATAGCTAACACTTACCATAAATACCCTATGTGATAGGTGTGCATTATCAGAGGCGACTGAGGTTCAGTGAGGTTAAGTGACTTGTGCATAACCATGTATGTCCACCAGTAAGCAGCAGACTGGGACTTGATCCCAGACAGCCCAGCCGTCAAGTCCATGTTATAAACTACCACACTGTAGGAACAAATAAGATCTTTAAATAAGTCAACAGATCTGTACAGTTTTGTGTACTTTCATAGAGGTCAGTTTCTTCCTCTCTTTACTATAGATTAGCGAGATTTTCTAACTCCTTCTTCCTTCCCCCGCCGCCCAGATTTATCCAAACATTTAGTACAGAATTATGGTGATGTAGAAGAACTTATGGATGCAGGAAATATCAATCGAACCACAGCAGCAACTGGGATGAATGACGTCAGTAGCAGGTCTCATGCCATCTTCACCATCAAGTTCACTCAGGTGAGGGCAGCTGTGGTGCCGGCTGGCTCCATCCCCAAGGTCTTTACTTGATGATTAGCACCAGTTGAGGACTGATCATTGTTGAACCAGGAATGGCAGCAGGCAAAGGTGACTGCTTGTCATTTCCTTGTTAATTAGAGTTGAACATGCGCTGTGTGCAGAATTTCTCTGTGGTAACGGTCACAGTCATATGAGATGTCCAAGTGTGTACCCTTAAGAAATACTTAGCAGGCCTCAACCCTGTTCTAGACATTAAAAAAAAAAAGATCCAAAAAACAACCACTTGCCTTGTGCATAATTAAGCAAAAGTTTTCATTGTTGCAAGCTCTGTGGGAGATAATAGATTGCCAAGTCAGACCAGTGGGGGGCCAAGGTGAGTAACTCATTGTAGTTCATTATCGCTCCATGGCACTCACCCAAAAATGTTGATTAGGATTATGAGAATAATATTAAAGGGCAACCAGCGTTTTTAAGTACTGATGTAAGAACTCATTCTGATCAGGAGGTGGAGAGCATTTTGAAAATGTGTGGCAATCATTGAGGGTAAGTATTTTAAGACCTAGGCCAGTAGCACAGATGAATGCAAACATGTGCATACAGAGTGTCTTCTTGGGACTTAATGTGTGTTAGGAGTTTGGGGATATCCTGGCCTATATTAACCATTGAACATACCAGATACAAAAAGATAGCATTTTATTAAGGAGGGGTATCACAGAGCAAAGAAAAATTTAAAAATTCTCAAAGGTCAATCAGAACAAATCCCAATAAATGCTCCACATCTTTACCTTTTGTTAGATTTTTGCTTTTTGATTTACTGTAGCCTATTGGATTTTCTTTTTTGGTTAATGTAGATTAGGGTGTGGCCATCCCTCCATTCCTACTTTCTAAGAAGCTTACATATCTACTATCAAAGTATGGTAATTTCTTTTTGACATTTTGGTTCAGACTGTTAAACAAAGGTTAAAGGCCTTTGTTGGGAAGGTAAAATTTTGGTAGAATTCAGAATCAAGGAATACATTATTTAAGGTTTTCAGTTTTTTATAATTCATGAAACAAGTTTTACTATTGAATAATGATCAAATTTCTTTTACATAAGTGTCTACATTTATCATCTTTTGGAGAGACCCTAGATGAGAACAAAACTAATTATTGTTTATTTATATTTTCTTTGCGAATACCCTCAACGACTTGTGTCCTGTTTTACCACAATCAAAATCAATAAGCCTTTGTTGGGAACAACCAAGTGATTGGAGTAATGGTACAGTTCTTCAGAAAGTTTAAGAATCACATATGGTAGACTTCTGTTGTATTCAGTTTCATTTGGAAGTTTCTATAATCAGTATGGTGGCCAACGGGACAACAAAATTAAAAAAAGAAAAAACAACAAACCCTACCCTGAGAGATCATAGTGAGGAGTAGAAGATAATTAGGATCTGTATCACAGACAACATCAGGGCTCTGTACACCTCTTCAATTTTGCTTTTATGTTTTGCTACAGGCAAAATTTGATTCTGAAATGCCGTGTGAAACCGTGAGTAAGATCCACCTAGTTGATCTTGCTGGAAGTGAGCGCGCGGATGCTACGGGTGCCACTGGGGTTAGACTAAAGGAAGGAGGGAATATTAACAAATCCCTCGTGACTCTGGGAAATGTCATTTCTGCCTTAGGTGGGTTTCTGCGTGTTCCCCACCACCTCCTACTCTTTACGATATTGTCGTAGCACGAAACAATTATGTTTAATGTTTGTGTTACAGACCGGGTTTATAGCCTCAAGGTTTTCAGAAGCCAAATTAGAGAAAAAAACTTCACTAGTTGTTTTGTTTTTGTTTTTCTTCCCTCCCGTGCAGCTGATTTTTTTTTTTTTCCCCGTGCAGCTGATTTATCTCAGGATGCGGCAAACCCTCTTGTGAAGAAGAAGCAAGTTTTTGTGCCTTACAGGGATTCTGTTTTGACTTGGTTGTTGAAAGATAGCCTTGGTGGGAACTCTAAAACCATCATGATCGCCAGTAAGAATTCCAAGTTCTTTTCCTCAGCATACAGTGTTTTATAGGAACTAACTATAGACCTGGAATTTTAAAATGTCTCATTAGGAAATAATACCTTTTTTTAAAATCTTAAAAAAATATTTTTTCTATCTTGGAGAAAATCACTGTGATCTCATCTACACTCTCATTAACTCTCTTTCCCGTTTCCTAATTGGATAAACTTGTCATGTGTTGTGCAAGCTGGGATACATGCACAATGACTCCTACCCTTTCTTTGCACAAAGTACAGGACAGAAACTTTTCATTCCATGAACTCACAGGAGAAAATCGTTGCAGGAACATAAAGTGAAAACAATCTACCTTTTGTTTTTCTGTTCTAAAGCAGTATATGTGGAATTTAAAATGAGGAATTGAGAGGAAAAGTAACAATGAACATAAATAATGATAGCAGTACTCTACTATATTGCTGCATTTTTACTAACTGGAAGAATGTAGCAGAGAAGAAAAATGTGCAGAGGGGAGAAATTCACTTGGGGGAACTCAGAAACTTTTAACTTCACTTTCTCTTGCCCTTTCTCCCCTTTCCTTCCCATGTTTGCATCTCCCCTGCTCCCCAGACCTTGCATTGCATTAATGCTGGATAAAAGGGATCTGTCCTGGGGTATGCACCCCAGATGCAATTATCTAGTTACCTGAGCCCTACAGGCTGTGGTGGTGGAGGGGGATGCCATTAACCAAAGCTTTAGGAGGAAAAGCATTCACTGACCTATTGACTCTTGAAAAAATGATCATGCTCTGGATTTTCATGGATGGTAGACTTTGCCAAAATTTTTAAAAGTATTTTGATTTCTATGTAATATTAAGAAGTACAGATAATCTTGAAATCTTCTTCGTGTGTCTTCAACAGAGAGACTCCTTATAGTGGAGTATCTCATATCTCATTTGAGAGTTGGTTAGGTAGTTAGCTGATTCTAGACTTAAGAGGAGCAAAATGACATTTAATTTGGTATAGTGAGCACCTTTCCTATTAATCTTAGATAATTTTTAATATTCATTACTGTGGCAATGAATATTTAGTCTATCCAATGACCTGAGGTTAATCTTACTTTTAAATTACAAACCAACTTTGTGTTAAATGAAACACGGAGTGCTGGATAAATTATTTTTTGAATTCATTCTTCACAGCTATTTCACCTGCTGATGTCAATTATGGAGAAACCCTAAGTACTCTTCGCTATGCAAATAGAGCCAAAAACATCATCAACAAGCCTACTATTAATGAGGATGCCAACGTCAAACTCATCCGTGAGCTGCGTGCTGAAATAGCCAGACTCAAAACACTGCTTGCTCAAGGCAATCAGGTTGGGTTTTTCTGAGATTTATAGATAATTTTCTTTGAGTAATGACATCTATTTCTAGATCTTAATGAGACAATTATGTCACTCGTTGTATTGACTTGAGTAAATAAGTGCTAAGTAAAGCTTTGAATGGGTTAGCCAGTCTTTCCTTTACATTACCCTCCCATTGGCCTTTGCATTCATTATGTGCTCTGTGTGTAAGATTTTATCCACTAAACCTGAAATGATTAACTATCTAATAGTTATCAATTATGGATGGAAATTTAGCATGCAATAGGATTAGCGGCATAATCTCCATTAGTGGAAGGAAATTGAAGTGCTTGGAGTAATATTTAAGATTCTACCCATGCATTTTATGACTTGAAAGTGTATTTTAACAGAATGAAAGACTTGAAGACTTTTCTGAATCTATTTTGCATTGTCCATTACAGAGGTGGTTATGGTGATACAGTTGGCACATGTGGCATGCCTGTGGCTGGCTGAGATGATGTCCCTGAGACCTTGCTTGAATGTCAAAACGGTCTCACTTCAGGGTCTTTCAGGATTCTAGTGAAGGGGCTTTGTTCTTATGTTTTCTTCGCAGTAAACTTATCTGCATAGTGTACATACAGAGTTACATTTTGTGATGAACAGTGTGAATTAGATCCTGATAGGTTTTAGGTACTGTTGTGAAGAAAGGCTACCCTTGAAAGAAAATCAGGGATAGCCTTTTTTAAATATTTGTCTTAGATTCAAGTTAGAAATAAACAAAGATATATTTCTTCTCATTTTCTTAACCCATAATGGGTGTAAGTGTATCATTAAAAAAAAATGCTTTTCTTTAAATGTAGTGTGCTCTCGCTAGAGCAGCTTTTCATCTAGGAATATAGGCCCTTGAAGTCCTTGGCATACCATAAGTGGTTTGATCATGAAACTGTCAGTGGAATGAAAACCTCACTGAGGTTCCTGTATTCTGAAATACACCTGACAGTTCTTTCCTGTAAGATGGCAGACAGTAGTAGAATAGGAATTGTTCATTGCACTTAGAAATGTCTCCATGTATATTTTACGTTTTGATGTGGACCTTTCCTTTGTGTGAAAGGAAGTTGCCAGAATGAATAGTCTAGCTGTGTGTGATGTTGTCAGCCTCCTCTAACTTATGACATGAATCACAATAGCCATTTTAATTTGTACACCATGTTCTTGGGATCTTTTTTTCAGTGTTAGTAAAATGTTACTTATTTGAGGTGAACGTTTAAGGGTGATTTGATAGCATCACCCAGACTTTACATGTGAAGAAAGTATTTGGAAAATTCTTGGTCCAAGTTGTTGTACCTAATGATTTACTAAGTTATGGAAATGAAGGAAAAGAAAATCAGCCTTTTAAAATTAAACTGAGGAAATCCTTGAAGGGAGCCTTATCGTATAGACAGAAAACTTTATTAAAACTTGTACATATTCTATCTGAATAATGTCTTCAGAGGTATTGTGTGTGCCAATTGCCTTTTATCTTTTTTCATGACCAAAGGCCATGCTGTAATTAAAGGAATATTTTTGTTGCTGTAGTTTTGAGGGTGAGGATAGAAAAGATAGTTAAGTCTATTTTAGAATCGTTGAAGATAAAAATCCTTTGATAAACTTAATACATTATATAATAAAATAGTACCACATTAAAATAATTTATCATAGTATGAAACTATAAATTGTTGTCAAACAATACAGGCTTATCCTAAATTAATTAAATTTGTGATGCTCAGTAAAATAAGCAGGTGTTCTTAAGTGCCCATTAAAAATCTCTGTATAATTTTTTTTTGATAACGTTACTCTATTCCTACAGTATTCCAAGTGCTACCATGGTTCATTGAGAATGTCATTCAAATCAAAGTTCCATTATTTGCTTAAGGACAGCTAAATAAAAATCAACTACTCCTTTTAATAAGGTTATGTATTTATTTACCAGGGAAGAATGTCAAGTGCATCAGAGGTTCAAAAGCACAATGTAAAAATACAACCCAAGAATTTAACATGTATTTGCTTCTCCTACTACATAGAGATATACAGATGTATGTGTACCAGTTTGCATATATATATATGTGTGTGTGTGTGTGTATGAACTCTTTATTGAAGGATTGTATATGTACAGGAAAATTACATATTGTAAGTTATACAGATCAGTGAATTTTCACAAGGTGAATCCATCCATCTAACCTGCACCGACATGAAGGAACAGACATTACCAGCACCCTGAAAGACCCTCTTGATGTTCCTTTTCAGACATTACCTGCCATTTCCTTCAAGAGGAACCATCACCCTGACTTCTGAGGGCACAGATTAGGTTTTCGTGTTGCTTATTTTTGTTCTTTATATAAATGGAATCATGTAGTCTATATTCTTTCAACTTCATTTCTTTCAGCGTTGTGTTTGTGAGATTGATCCATGTTGTTGCATATTGTAGATCCATTCATTCTCACTGCTGTACCATATTCTACCTTATACATAGGTCCCTGCTCATTTAGCCATTCTCATTTTGATGGGAATTTGGGAGTCTCCTTTTTGGAACTATTAGGCTGCTGTTGACTCTCTTCTACATGTCTTTTAGTGAACATACTAGTTTCATACCTAAATGTGGAGTTGGTGGTCAGAAGGTGTACATAGGCTCAGTTTTAGTAAATACTGCCAAACAATTTTTTAAGGTGTCTCCACCAATTTATTTTCTACCACCAGTATATGAAAGTGCCAGTTCTAGTGCTGCAGGTCCCCATCCACACAAAGGGAATTGTCCACTTTTCCTTGTAATCATCTGATGGGTGCGTAGTTGTGCTATAGAAGGATTGTAATTTGCACTTCTCAGATGAGTAATGAAGTCGAGCATTTTGATACCTTGGCTTTTCAGATGTTCTCTTTTGTTATATTTAAAGCATATTTTCAGACTTCTGCTTTGACTCTGGCCGAGGGAATGTCTGTGAACTCCTTTTCTCTTGAATGTATCCAGAGATGAGAAAATTAAACAACACAGACATGAAATAAGCCAGAAAAGTCAGGAAGCCAAGAAAGTAGAATGAATTTCTCATTTGTGTGGCTGGAGTCATGGAGAAACTTTAAATGACAGATAATAGAAATATCTTCATGTGCAGACTTTTAAGATAGACAAATCTCTGAGAGGGTCACAGAGTAAGATTGTTACGTGATGTTTGTCTAAGACTGAGCACCGGCCTACTAGGTAATTCAAAGGGGAAGGAAGGTAGTACAAAAACAGCATTATGTTGCTTTTATATTTTATGTATATTATGTATACCTAAAAACACTTTATTACAGCAAAGAGTACAGTTAATAATTAAAATGAAACATGCTGTCAGCTTTTATAAAAGAAAAAAAAAACAACAAAAGCACTATAGGAAATAGCAGGAGACAGAGCCAAACATATTTGCCACAGGGAACCATAACTCTTCTCATTTCATGAGCGCTCACATAGACCGAGGTAAGGAAGGACATAGCATGTTTTCATGACACCTTGAAAATTTGCTCTGATCAGTACAAATTTGGAAAAAAAGATTGCCAACTTGTGCACTTTATTATGAAAAGAGCTTCTATTAAGAAGGTAAGATAGAGGGCTCTAAAAAAAGATAGATGAACCTGGGTGGCTCAGTTGGTTAAGCTTCTGCCTTCGGCTCAGGTCTTGATCCTGGGGTCCTGGGATCCTCAGTAAGGAACCTGCTTCTTTCTCTCCCTCTGCTCTTACCTTGGCTAGGGCTTGAGCATGCGTGCATGCTCTTTCTTTCTCTCAAATAAACAAATAAATAAAATCTTAAAAAAATAAGAATAAGGTCACAAGCTGGCAGAAAAGTAAACAATATGAGCAGAGTTCACAGAACAAAGTTCCTAGTCTATGAAAATATGCTCAATGTCCCTTGAAATACAGTAACTACAAATACTAAGAAGAGTGAAATGAATATATATATGTATATATATATATATATATATATATGAAAATGGATACATCCACAGTCCTTAAGTGTGTATTTTGCTGCATGTAAATTATACCTGAAAATTCTTAGAAAACTGATTGGATGGGCAAAGATTACAATGCCTGATTGCAGAGTATATTGGCAAGGGCAGGAGGCAGCAGGTGCTTGTACTTGTTGTTAGTGGAATTGATACTACTACAGTTTTGGTGTAGTGTATTTGGTTTTAACATATGAACTTCATCTGAGTATTATTTAATCCTTGAACAGTTTTCTAATTGGACACCCTGCAAAGAGTAATTTAATTGAAAATGGTTTAGTTTTACCAAATATTTCTTTTAAAAGGACTTAGGTAGGTTTTCCAAAAGGTGTAGTGGTTATGATAGCCTCATGCAAGTGTTCAGTCTGATTATCTTCTGAGTAATTGATGTGGTAGGAGTGTTTTGAGTATAGATGAAAGATCCCAATAGGGGAGTCTGTAAAATTAGTCCTGTTATAAAGGGGTTACTAATTGTTTTGAAAATTGCCAACGATATATAAACAATGCAATTCATAATAATGCCTGCCACTTGCATTTCTTCAGTGGCAAGTATTTATTGAGTACCATCTGTGTGCAAGACAACATGCTAGGTGCCACAATAATGTGTTGTAGTAATGTGTTGTAGTAATGTGTTAGCAGAACTCCTTTTCTTTCATGAAGGATGAATTTCCTTCATTAATGATTAACTTATTGGCTTTATTCTCTGTAATTTGGATAAAAGTGGGATGCAGCTTTATAACTAGGCAACATCTCTAATGATAAAGATGACCCCTAATAGGAGAATTGTGTCTGGATTAGGATGAACTGTATATAGACTATAAATGCATGTAGAAAGCCATAGCTTTGGATTTCCCTGAGTGCAGGGACTCTTAACTGAGTGTGTCTCTTGTGGACTGTGGAGGGCATGCCTGTGCAAGAGATGTTGCCTCCTGTTGGGTGTAGGACTTTTAAGCCAAGGTGAACCCCCTACATGTGTGAATCTCAGCCCTTCATGCCAAACACAATAGCTCCTGACAGCTGTGAGGACTGTTGAAGAGACTTTAGGAGGACCTTGCTGTCCAGTTGTTAGCTCTGCTGTCTTCCAGGGGACAGAAGCCGAGTGTGGTCCATGGTAGTCTTGTTAGCCTGCATGTTTAACTGAGCTTAAGATGATCACCTTGTGGGCTGTTGCATTCATTTGAATAGCAATTGAAAAGTAAATAATAATGAAAAAAATGCTGTAATCTCTAAGGAGGACAATTTGGCAATTAAAAAAATCATACATATAAAATGATCACAAATTCCCTTTGAGGAATTTATTGATACAGCTGTGTATATGGTAGGCAACTGCTGGTAAAACGGAAGATTAGAAAAAACCTGCATTTCCATTAGTAGGAAAGTACAGACATAAATTATGGAATATCCATAGAGGGGAATGGAATTGTTAAAAAATAATGAAGTGAATTTATTTGTACTGAATTTTCTACGAGATATATTGAGTGAACATGGCACTATTCAGAACAGTATTTGTGCTGTTTGTTTAAAAGACAACAGAAATATGCTTGCCTATGACCAGAATAACTGCAGGTTTACATAGCATATTGGGTTAAGAGTGGTTGTCTGTGGATGGGGAGGGATAAAGACTCTCTTTTTTGAGTATAGTTGACGCACAAGGCTACATTAGTTTCAGGTGTACAACATAGTGATTCAACATCTCTACATACTATGCTCACCACAAGTATAGCTACAATCTGTCGCCATACAAAGCTATTACAGAATCATTGTATAATCTGTACCTTTCCTATGACCCCTTTCTTTTGTTTTAGATGACATCCTAGGGAGTACTCTGCCCCTACCTCTCAGATTATGAATTCCAAATACATAGAGAGCCCCTCTGTGCCCCACCTGGCTCCCTTTGCCTCTCCTGTCTCTATTTGCCTTGTCCCATTTCTAACCTGATTTTAGTGTTTATCATTCTTTTGTCAATCTTTATACTTTTGCAACATGGATAAAAAAATGGGTATGTAGATTGTGGTATAGCCATACCTACATGGAGTATAATCCAGCAGTGAAAATAAGTAAGTTTCATTTGCATGTAATCAACATATGTAAATCTCAGAAACCTGTGGTTGAGCAATGCTTATGCTTCTTTTTGAATTTTTACAATTCATATTTGAATTGAATATTTCATTGAATATTTGCATATTCAAAACAGATGAATCCTTGAGGATTTAGGTTGTGTTTGGTTTTGGCAAAATGTCAGTATGTGACATGTTTGTTTTTTTCTTTCCCTTAGGTGATTTGTGTTGCAAATGTAGGTTTGCTAGGATGCCATAGTTCTGAATATTATGAGATAAGTACCCCATTGATTAAAGACTTCATGATTATTGACACTTTTTAGGTGGTGTGGGACAATACTTTTTACCTTTGCTTAATAGTTTATTTGGCAATTTTTGATAATTTATTAATCATGGTCAATTCCTTCCTGTTGATACTGCTTTTTACTAATTGCTGTTCTCTTTTATGGCTTAAATCATAGATTGCCCTCTTAGACTCCCCCACAGCCTTAAGTATGGAGGAGAAACTTCAGCAGAATGAAGCAAGAGTAAGTGATACCTTGACTTTCTATTTTTTAAATCCTAACTTTCGCTGTTAAGTGCATGCTTTTTAGTACTTGCTGTTTGAAACTCATTTTTCTTTCCTCATTTCACCTAACCCTCCCTCTTTGCCCCATCCCATTTTTAAAGAACCACAATAGGGGTGCCTGGGTGGTTTAGTCAGTTAAGTCTCTGACTTCAGCTCAGGTGATGATCTCAGGGTCCTAGGATTGAGCCTTGCTGTTTGGGTTCCCTGCTCAGCTCTCTGCCCCTACCCCTGATTGCTCACTCTCTCTCTTTCTCAAGTAAGTTGTCTTTATGTATCTCATAATGTTCTCTATGACTTATTAAATGAGATTTGTCTGGTACATGATGGTTAACTGCAACTGAAATTCACGTGTAGGCAGTGCTGATGATGCAGTGAGGCTGCTGAGTCCCTCAGAACAGATGAGAACCCTGGGTCGGGGGAGGCCACGTTCAGCATTCATGAGACGGTGGTTCCCAGCTTAACAGTAGCTGAAGCATGACCACCGTTTAGTTTTTTGTCATCCTTTTTACTTTGTTTCCAGTGGGAAATGTGGTACTTGGAGAGTCTGAATACTTCAGGTGGCTGCCAAGTTTCCCTTAAGCTAGTGAGAGTCAAGGCAGAAGAATGAGTGGTAGTGAGTGACTGGCAGAGAAAGGAGCCCTGGATATGTGACCTGACGCCAGTGCTGGTGTGCAGGCACTTTCTGAAACCCAGTTTCATGGCTGACCTGGTTCTATACTATTTTTGTTTTGAAAAAATAGTCCTCTGTGGAAAGAAAAACAGGCATTGAGAACATTTTTAGGGTTGAATTTTGTTCACTGTGCTGAATGGTTAAAACAGATTGAGAAAGAAAATTGGATTCTGTTGGTAAGGTCTTCAAAAATACACAATATTGAAAATATAAATTGGATTGTAGTTAGGAACGTGTTGACACTTCCCTAGATAATTATGCTGATGAATTTGCTGATAATAGCATTAGTAAAAACATTAGTTTCTTAATCTCTATTTTTCTCATGAAATTTTATATTTTAGTACTTCAAATTCTAATTTTGAGTGCTTTGAAATGTCCGGATGTAGTCTTAAATTGTTTTTTACTAATAGCTTTTAGGAATACCTAGCAATTTAATAAAAACCAATAAACATTTTAATTTGAAAGCATTACACATGCTGTGACAGAAATGACTACCTGTCTTGTTCATAACAATTTGTAAGTTTTAATCTAGTTTTTTGCTGACCTTTTCAGTCGTTTGCTATCAGCTTGGCTGTAAATCTTGTCACCTGATCATTTGTTAGAGGTGGTATCACATGTTTGTTTTATAAATGAAGATTATTTGCTTTAAATTCAATAGTAAAACCAATTCAAGGCATACTTAACGATTTGTTTAAAGCTAGAATTATTTGATTGGAAAAGGATTGATCGGCTTGTTGTTTCTTCAGGGAACACAAACCTGTTGGTGAAATGCAGAAGGATTTACTGTTGAATGCTGTATTTCTCAGATAAATTGCCAGTGAGAATCTGTTAACTGATTATTTTCATAAATTGGTAAATTCAATACACCAATCTTATCTATTCCTGTAGGGAGAGAAGGCATAAGACTACTACCTCTCTGAAAGCGTTTCCAAAACAATCCCTGAGAGCCATGTGGCTTTAATTGCTATCATTAGAGGCTGAGGTTGGCATCACTCAGGGGATGAAAGAGCAGAGTATATGTGCAATTCTAGGCAGCAAAGGCAGTCTTTGCAAACCATTAAAAACCCGGAAAAAGCAAGGCTAGAGAGGGTCAGTCCTGTGTCTTTTATTTATTTATTTTTAACCAAGAAGAAAAATGGCTTTTGACTTTACTAACTAGTAAAAATGAGGAGATATGATTTTAGCTCAGTCCAGTCATGTTTGGGGTAAATGGAGTAAAATGAGTGACCGCTGAACGGTTGGGTACAGGTGGGTTAGATATGTCTTGGTTTTCCTCTTGGGTAAACTGTCACTCTGGTGTCTCCACCTCTTGTCAGTCACACAGGCTTTTAGTCAGGAAGGTTTCTGCCATGGATGCCTTTTCTAGTTACCATACTCAATGCACGTGGGCAGTGTTCTCCTCTTGGAAGAGAGAGTGCCAGCAGGTGTGTTCGGGCACGCACTTTGGGCTGGCTAAGTCAACTAACCTCTCAGTGGGAAGAGCAGTGTGGAGGGGAATCTGAATGGGAGTGGGGAGCTGACACAAGTGCTAAATTAGAGGAGGAGAGGGGCTTTGAAAGGACGAGTGTCGTGTGTCTAATCATGTCACCCCCATCACTCTGTTTTAGCTTCAGGGATACTCCTTTCACAGGATATATTCTTTTTTTCTTTTTCTGTTTTTTTTTTTTTTTTTTTTTTTTTTTACTGTTTTTTCCTACTTCTTGGTCAGGTACTAGATCAGCATATCACTGAAGTACTTATGAGAATTACTTACTAGGGCCATTGAAAAAGTTTTACGGAATTGGAAGAATATTTTCACTGAATCTGAGAAGCTATTTCCACCTGTGCTGTGTTCAACATTTGGGGATGTTTTCTGCCTTAAATAACAGTAGACTGGAAAGAAGCTGATTTTTATCAAAAGATTTTTGCTTCTTCCTAAAGAGTTACTTAAAGAGCTATCTTTTTTTCTTTTTTAAAAAAGAATGAGATTTATAATTAGCTAAAACAGATTAGCTCTTAAAGAAATTAGCTGAGAAAGCAGATTATCTCTTAAAGAAAACTGCAGCATCCAAGGTGATTTAATCATCACATCTAATTAGAAGGAAACAGAAATCACTGTTTTTTTAGGACCTAAAGTATAATCAGGAAAAATTAACCCATTTAATGCTGCCCTCTGATTCTTAAACTTGTCATTTTTGGTTAATATCCAAAGAAGCAGCTTTTATTTAAGTATACCGTGAAAAGAGTGTTATAAAACTCTAGGTACCTTGATGAATTTTTCCCTATTCTTTCCTCTGCCTTAGTGTGGGTTGTAGGATGAGATCAGCTTGTTTGATTTATCTTTCGTGTTGGTTCTTTCAGAGATTGAAATTGCTATATAATTAAATATATTGTGCATCCTCTATAAGCTATAAGAGTTAGGACACTTTCTGGAAGAAAACCATAGTAATTTTCTTATGGAGCAATCACACGTGTATTTTTCCTTTTAGGTTCAAGAATTGACCAAGGAATGGACAAATAAGTGGAATGAAACCCAAAATATCTTGAAAGTAAGGACTGTAATAAGGGACCATAATCTTATTATCTTGGCTTGAATAGGTAAAACTTTTTTTCTTTCTCCCTCAAATATGGCTATTACGTGTTTTGCTTAAGGTAAGATCAGTGACTTTTGGTGGATTGGGGTTCTGATTTGATTTTGAAGAAACGGAAATAAAACTATGAGACGTCGAAGCTCTGTGTGTTTTAGCAAGTAGAGGGGATGCTGATACTTAAGGTATCTGTTTCTACTTGTTGGGGTTTTTCCATTTGTGACTCAGCCCATATTAAACTCACCTTAATGTTCAAGGGTATCCACTTTGCCTTCCTGCTTTTGTGAAATCCAGCATAAAAACAGTATGTTAAATGAGAAAAAAAAATATGTCCCATGGCAATACTGTAGAGTGCGCTGCATAACATGGCTAGGTCTCAGAAATTTTTGGACTAGAATTTTGATCTGTTGTCTCAAGGGCTTGGCAGATGTGGTCTGCCTGTTTGGGGAGGGTCATTGTGAAAGGATATCACCAGTGGCCTCCAGAATGCTTCAAAATACACGTTTCTTCATGTTCCCAGTTTTTGCTGAGTTGCAGAAAAGCTGAGTCATCTGTTGAGGGTCAGCTATGGCAGGCATGAAGTTCAGACCTGAGTATAAGCTTTGATAGCGTCTGACTTCACTCATGAGAGAAGGTGATTCAGAGACTGCTGAATCCTGGGCTTGTGTTTGAGGCCTGTTTAGACAAAACTTCCCCGAAGGAGTGACATCCCCTCTACCACTGGGAGGCTGGATAAAGTTTAGCTGCATGTCTTGGCAGAACCCTACCTTGGATCCCCTGTACATGAAAACGGGGCAGCCACTTAACTGTGTCATGGGGGCAAGCTCTTGAAGGCCTAATTAGCCAGTTTTGTGTCTCACAGCACTGAGAGGGGTCAGCAGCATATTGTATAAAGTTCTCCGGGTGCCATTTAGGTGGCTTGGCCTGCTCTGGGGCTGCACGAGACTGTTCTCATAAGGGGGAGGTTGTGCTGTGCTTTGCAGCCTGTGTGGGTTGTGAGGGTCTGAGACATGATATTTCCAGTTACAGGAAGCACTGCCCTAAATGACTGTGTCTGAGTCCTGATGTTCTTGTCTACCCTCCTGGTTCTGATGATAGTGTTAATATTATCTTGAGGTACCTCCTCAGTATTTCCTGTGTTGAGAGATTTTTGTGCAGGAAACGGAGCCAGGACTTCACTTGCATGTCAGGGGAGTCGGATGTGGAATAAACACCTTCACCTCCCAGACATGGGTAGTTTTATCCTGTAGCAGACTCAGCTCTCAGAGGTAGTGCCACCACCTCTGTCTGTGAAGCTCACATTGTTTGACCTTTCATGGCACAATATATGCTTTCCTCAGTAAATGTACAAAGAGAGAGGATGGAAATCTGTTCCATATAAGGAAAAGAGAAACCAAATAGTAAGCTCTAAAAATTAGTGCATGTAGTGCCACTTAGCACAGGTGCACCAATACACTGAAAGACTTCAGCCTCCCCCTTCTGTTGTGGGCTCTCCTGGTCCTCGGAGGAGGGGTTTTGTAACAGCCCTGAAGGAATCTGCCCAGAGCCACCATGATGAACCTGCCAGCTTTTGTTAGGCTTTTCCTCATAAGGTGATTCTGGGCCCTGAGCTAAGTTATCCTCCAGTTCCAATTCTATTATTCCTAAATCTTTTTCTTTTTTTATAACTTGTCAAATGAAAAGAGTGGAAATGTGATGCGTGCTAGGTATTAAAGGTTATGAGAAAGACTAATGATGTTTCACAGTTTTCCCGTCTCTTGCTCTTGCAAGCCCATTTTGGATTTCTCTGCTAGTATTTGTGTTTTAAATCTGTAGTCGTTTTTTGTTCACATTTGATATTTTGAGGGCTATCTTCCTCTCATTGGAAGATAGTGTCTGAGGCTTAAAAAAAAAAAAAGCAGCTACTCAGATGCTGTTGGAAGACATTCTTTGGAAATTGATGAAAAAAGGGATTGTTATCTGATGAATTTGTATCTGTGTGGTTTGTGAAATACTTTTCCATATTTCTGTTGTGTCAGTCAGCTTTTGCTCCAGTAATGCTGTATAGAACCCACTCCAACCCAGTGGCTTGAAGCAACATTTTCCCTCATGCATGTGTAGGTTGGCTGGGGGTTGGCTGGGCTAGCCTGGTTTGGTTGGGCTTGGGTCCAGGCTGTGGGTGAGTTCTGGGTCTGCTCCACATGTCTCTCATCCTCTTGGACTACCTGTTGTCTGGGACATGCTCTTCTCATGGCCTTGGCCAATGTACAAGCAGGCAGGCCTAGTTGTGCAAGCACTTCTTGAGCTTCTCATGCCTGCTGGCATCACATTGACCAAAGAAGGTCACTTGGCTGAACTGAAAATCAAGGGAGAAAGGAAGTATACTTCATTCACAATAAGGCGATGCCAAGGTTATAAATGCACAAACTGCTTTGAGATCGGTTGGGTAATTTACACATGCCCATGTTCAACATTTCAAATGTGAGTCTTTAAATTCGGAGAAGTTGCTCTTCTGGTGAATTTACCCATTTTGTAGACACAGGCCAGTGAACCAGGAAATTCTCAGGATTATGTTCATTGTCAGAACCCACTTGTTGACTCTGCCAGTTTGTCATTTATTGTCCTTTCCAAGCCCCAAATTCTGAACATCCAAGGAGTGACCTTTGGGGAGAAGAACAAAGGGCGTTAAAATATCCCAGAAATTGAAGGGAGCGGTGAGGGCTGATTTGGTGTGTTGGCACTGCGAGTGCCTGCCTTCTTGCTTTTTCTTGTCCAAGTTTATCAGTGAGTCATTTCAGAGGAGACACATGGGTATTGTTTGAAGAGAAGACCAAGGAAAAGAGCATAACCCATCTCCTTAGTCCTCAGAATGATTTTGTTGGTTTTGAGCTACCTGTGCTGGTTGCTTTTATCTCCACCTTCAGTTAGGAGACTCGGGATTAGTTTATTGGCATAAGTCACATGGAGTTGCTTCAGGAATGTATGGGAGCCTCCTCATGCAACAGTAGGAGTTTCAGTCAGTGTGGAAGACAGAGGTCCCTTAATGTCAGCATTATACTTGGAAATCCTTCCATTTCCCTGGAAATCACTAGATCCTGAGCTCCTGGATTCTCGCAAGCCAAAGAGTAACTGTTGCCTTCTTTTAATTTGGTCTGTGGCTGCCCTTGCTCTGGATGAGTGATCCAAGGTCCTCTCAAATGGGGTGGTGGGAGAGTGGAAGGCTGCTGGCCAGATTTGTGCTCTGACAAAGGGTGAAGGCTCTCTATAGCCAGGCTGGTGGCACCATGGCGACAATGACAGAGCCTCAGGCTTTGATCTGTGAAACTCTGATCTCAGGCTTCAGTTCTCTTTCTGACTAATTGGGTCCTGACACTAAACCACAACTGTCATAGACTCTGCTCCCTAGCTTGGAAATTAGGGTGAATGGCGACCTCTTCCCTGGGTCCCAGTTAACAGAGTAAGAGAGAGTAAAGTAGTTGGGGTTATTGTGAAAGTGGCTAATGAAGGTAGAACGTATGTTAGTCTTAAGGAGGCCGTTCTTGGACAGTTAGGTAATGAGTTTTATTATCCTCCATGATGTGCTCTGTATTCATTCTCTTGCCCCTTAACCTGCCTTCCTTAGTTTTTATTAATCTTCATTTTCTGGAAATGAAAGTCCAGACTCCCAGAGGCACCAGTGTCTTCAGTGCTCTGTTTACTTTGACAGTTCTCCTTGCCCAGCACCTCTGGCATCCCACCCACCCTGTCAGTGTCTGGCTGGTCCTGGAGCATACCTGCACGTCAGGTCTCTTAGTGTTTCTTGGCCTGTGTTGCTCCCCATTCCATATGCTTCCCCTTCCTGACCTGTCAGAATCCATGGGGAAGTTCCCTCTCTCTGGTTACACTTCTCCCCCATTTCCCATCTGGAATGATTTTGCTCTTGTTGGACCTTTATAGCATTTGGTTTTACCCCTGGCACAGCATCCATCATAATCTGAGGTTGTGGTCTTGGTTTCTCCCTCTGAACAGGAGCAGGGTCTGGGCAAGGACCATCTCTTTATCATTCTGGGAGCCAGCTTCTGGAACTCCGCTTCTTGCAGAACAGGCATGCAACAAAAACTTAACCACATTTAAGTAATGCCAAGAAACAAAAACCAAGAACTTCATATTAATTTTCTAGGGTTGTCTCATGAAATATCACAGAATGGAGGTTTAAAGAGAAGAAATTTATTTTCTCTCAGTTCTGGAAACTAGAAGCCCAAGATCAAGGTGTCGGCAGGGTTGGTTTCTCCTGAGACTTCTCTTTTTGGCATGCAGTTGGCTCCCTTCTCTCCGTGTCCTAACATGGCCTTTTCTTACTGTGCCAGGACTGCTGGTCATCCTCTGTACATCCTGATCTCCTCTTTTTGTAAGGACATCACTCAGATTGTACCCTAAATGCTTCATTTTAGTGTATTTACTTCATTAAAGGCCCTGTCTCCAGACACAGTTTTGTCCTGAGGTACTAGGGATTAGGACTTCAACACCTGAATTTTCAGGGGGCACAATTCAGCCCGTAAGAGCCTGGAAGCATATAGAGCTGATGACATGGTGGGAGAAGTAACACGGAATGTTGTGCCGGCATGGTCTTCTTCCTACCTCCACCTTCCATCATATGTTCCTCGTTCTTCTTTGAAAGGCTTGTATGTGAGTGTGTGTGTTTTATTCTTGGAAGGAACAGGGGTGGCTACATTCCTTTAGATTATAGTCCAGTCCTTCATTTGGTTCAGGTAGGTATTCGCCATTCCAAGTGTGGCTCCTGGACCAGCGGCAGCGTCATCGTCTGAGAGCTGGTGAACGGTGTAGGCTCTCGAGCTCCACCCCGTATGTGCTAAGTCAGAATCCAAGATTCTGGGATCTGCATCATAATGTTTGAGGAAAGCTGGGGCAGTCTTGGGCTTCTTTGCCCTCAGATCCCTTCTCCGCCCTCTCTGACTCTGCCCTGGGTTATCATGGGGGACTGA